AAGGGCTTCGCATAGTCCGTATCATTAGATGCTCACTAATGCTCAGTTTTGCTCTGCATTATATAGCTATGGATTAAGAAAAGGACTTTCACCCTGTATTAGTCTCTGAGGGCTGCCATAAAATAGTACCACAAACTGAGTGACTTAAAACAACATAAATTTATTCTCTCACAGCTTTCAATACTACAAGTCCAAAGTCCAGGGTGTTGGCAGGTCTTGTTCCTTCTGGAGGTCCTGAGGGAGAATATGTTCCATGCCTCTCTCCTAGCTTCTAGCAGGGCTTGTTCCTTCTGGAGGTCCTCAGGGAGAATATGTTCCATGCCTCTCTTCTAGCTTCTAGTGGTTGTGGCAACCCTTGGCATTCCTTGTCTTATAGATTCATCATTTCAGTTTCTGCATCCATCTTCACAGGACATTTCCCTGTGTGTTTCTATGTCCCTTCTTTTCTTATAACGATACCAGTCATGCTGGAATAGGTCCTTCCCTAATCCAGTATGACCTCATCTTAACCTGACTACATCTGCAAAGATCCTGTTTCTGAGTAATAAGGTCACAGTCACAGGTACCAGGAGTTAGGACTTGAGCATATGTTTTGGGGGGAACATAATTCAACCCACAACATACCTCTTCTTTTCACTTCTCAGCAAGACTTACAAAAAATCCAGAGAAGCCTGAACCACTTTTTTATCTGAGGTAACCAAATTACTGAAAAATTAAGAAATAGAGATAAAAAAAAAATCTTTATTTTCAATCTATTTATTTAATTTCTGTTATACTAAGTGTAGATTTTATTTGGAAGCCATTGCAAAAGACTTAATTAGGAACTTTATGAGTACAAGACAAAGGCCAAGTGGCCACCTTTCCTTGCACAGTCTACCTCCATCCATGCCAGAATTATTGATTGGCTCACCTCCTCAGCTACAGCCATCTGTGTCTCAAGTTGATATGGTCATAGTCATAACTTGACATAAAACAATTTTAAAAGAATGTTGTTCTTTGTAAAAGATTACATCACCAATAGTAGAACACTTGAGTTTTGTGTAGTTCCTCCCCAAATCCCATGATTAGGAAAACAGAATAGACGTACAGAGTTACTCTAGATCTGCAGGGGAAAAAAATAGGCCAAGATGAATATTCTCCTCAGTTTCA